TTGCACTGTTCTGGTTGCACTGGTTGCATAAAGAGCCATCTCAAATATAATCACAAGCTTTAGCACTGTTGAAAGAGATCCTTGCTTCCCATGGTGTCTCACATGCTGTCAGTGGTGGAAGGAGCCAGCGGAGGAAACGCAGCAGAGCTGAGCAGGGCCTGGGGCACCAGTGGGTGACGTGCTACAGCAGGGAGACAAGGTGGGTGATAAGATAGTAGGCTGGGCTGGGGAGAAGTCCTGCACTGTGGTCTGGAGAGGAGGAAGATGTTGGGAGGCAGTAAGGTAGAGGTGGGAACCCTAGAGCCCCTATTCAGTCACAGAGCCACAGCCATCTCCACAGTTATGCTGTTCATTGTGAGTCTAGAACAATACCTCGACCTCCAGCCTGGTGGAGCTCTCTTAGCCTGTGTCACTCCCCTGACAGCTCCTAGCATGCTCCAAAGACCTCATGTACTGCACCAAGACTGTTCAAACTCGACTAGTCCCTCACCGATTCATTCTTGGAATCTTCTTTGCTGCCGCTGCAAAGTTGAATGTTGCCTTCATCCCTGAAGCCATTAAAAAATAATTTTGACGTAGCTTTTTTTCTTAAGTTTGGAACTTTCCTAATATGCTATGTTTCTTTAGTTCTATAACATCATTGCTACATATACACTGAGAAGCAAGCTTAGCATTAACTCGCACATCTCCAGCTGTTAGCTGGCTGTGTCTTGCTGAAAATAACCTATAAGTCTGGGCATAAATTGTTGTCATCTGCAAGGGCATTCTTGTTGCACAAAGTAAATAGATTCATAAGAGATGCTTTCATTTGCAGATGTTAGAATCAGATCAATCCTACAGTGAAAGTGCAGCTCCAGAATTACTTCAGCCAAGGTAATTTAGTTTTGCTACAGCCCTATTTCCTTATATGTTTTGGCATAAGCATTTTGCATAACAGTTTGAAAGCAAAACTGCCAGAAAACTGATAATATAAAATAATATAAGTTTTCTACTAGCTTAGCTCCCAGAGTTGACTCACCATAGATCAGATCATGGTAGCACCAACTCACATTTAAAATGTTTTGGTACTGCATTAGAGACACAATTAATGCTAGTGATTACAAGAGAAATAATTGTAGTCCTTCCTTCCAGCTGAAGAGTAAAAGGAAAAATAACATAGCATTGTGTTTTATAATACCTTCAGTCTCTTTCCTGGCTAGACACATGAACTGATTTGACTCACAGAATCAGAAAAATTATGATCTCTTCCAATTGTTCTACTTTCTTTAATTACTCAACTATTCCATTTGGTTTTTGTCACTATCCAGTGTCACTTTTAGAAACAATAAGCAATAAACGGAGAGTTTACTGTTTCTTTTTAATGTAGTAACAAAAATACTTAGTAGAATAACAGAATAATTTCAGAATAGAAAAACATGCCCTCCTTGGTTCAATAGTAAATTAATTCTCCCTGTTTTCTTGTTGATGTGGAGACCAAGAAACAACTCCTGCTATCCTAAAAGAAACTGCCTGCAGAAGAGGTGACTCTCTTAAGCCTATGTATGATGCCAGATAGTGCTTGGTAATTGAAACTAGACAATCTAGAGATCAGTAATAAGATGCAAATTTTTAACAGTCACTGCAAAGCAGAACATTAGATGTAAATATTATTATAGGTTTTATAATGCTTGAGATTATTCACAATGGCAAAACGTCTTTATGAGGCAGATGCTATTACTCAGACACTTCTTTAAGCTGGAAGTTTAAAACCTCTAGGACTGGTCTGGGCTGTTTCCTTTGCAGAAACAGCTTTAGTGGCACCTCTCATGTAACTTAATCTCAGATGAAAGAAAAAAAATTCTAGTCATGCATCTTTGCATTCTGTCTACGCATCTAATGAAACCTGTGTCATTTGGACAAAGGTACTATATACAAATAAAAAAGTTTCACAATTTATGGGCAAATTAGTCAGAATGTTGTAGAAAGGCAGATTGTAAAAACAACTTGTGTTGTTGAAAGCTTCATAATAAATACTGAAATCTCGGAAATGTAATTTAGTAATAGTTTATTTTAGTCAGGAAGACATGGCACTTGTTGCCATGGTCTAGTAACCACAGTGGTAGTGGATCAAGGGTTGGACCTGATGATCTTAGAGGTCCCTTCCAACCTGGCTGATTCTATGATTCTATGATTATAAGTATGAAAGGCTTAGTCCTGAGGTAATAAGGTTCAAAAAGTTAGTGAATTAGAATTGTAATGCCCTATGGCATCCCAGCTCTCTCTTGAAAATATAGTATTGGTTTAGGCTTTATTCATACCCCTTTTTCCTCATAGCTTACTGGCACTCTTCTCTAAATGGCAGTAACTTGTTCAGTCTTGGGCAGCCTGAATCCCATCAATCAAAGAGGAAGGACAAATCATTAGAAATCTTTTCTTTGTACCATCCTGGAGAGGTTAAGGCCTGATTATACTTTGCTATCTTTCCTCTGCTCAGTTTTCCCCTACACTTTGGGAAATGTTCCAGTCTGTCTTTCTGTGCCTGCTCATAGGTGGGTACAATTTGTTCCTTTTGCATAACTGATTCTGTGGAATTCTCCTTGACCTCTGATGGTTTGCTTTACCCATAAAGATGAGCTCATATCAGTTTATTTTTCAAGGGATTATGAAGTCCAGCCGCATTTGAAGTTGTTTGCTGTATCAGGTTCCTATACTGATGACTGATGTATGTATTGACATAGTAAATGCCAGTTCTCTTGGTGTGGTCAAGTTTCTTGTTCTTGGTCAAATTAATTCTTTGTCTAACTCTGCTTTTGAAAAATCTCTAGAGTGAATGTATCATAACATGCCCTGTTCACAAGGAACTCTTTTAATAGCTTAATTTCTGCCAAAATTACTTATTCTGGTTTTAATTGTTATTTGTGCTAGTATATCTCTGCTAAGACCAAGTGTGCTTCATTAGAGTAAGCAGAAATAGATCTAAGTAATTTCTTCTCCCTGTAGCCAAAGTGCAATGACAAAGTAGAAAAAAGATAAAAGAATCAATCATAAGTAAACCCCCAAACTATCAATATATTATCAGCAAGATTTTCCCATGTGTTGAGATTAGTAAATAGCAGCACAAAGTCAGAATTAACTGTAGGACTCTGAAAGGTCACAAAGTGACACATCTACAGCACAATATTATGCCAGAAGGGTGAACTGCTCAGAAAAATAAAATGGACGTTCTTTAAATTTTCAGAAAATTAATTTTTCTAGACAACTCATTATTCATTTTTCAAGACTGTGTTACAAGGTTTCATGGAAGAAAATTTAACTGCTAAAGGAGAGCAGTATGAAGAATATTTAATTCATTTTATGAAATAGAAACTTGGTGTATGCTCTGGTTTTTTTTTTTTTTTTTTAATAAGCACAGATTTTTAAAATTTTTGCTCTGTCAGAAGTATATCTCACTGGGCTTTTTGGTGTGGGGTTTTTTTTTTCCTGTTTGTTTTCTTGATTTGGTTTTTTTCCTTTTTCTTTTTTTCCCCATGAACATCTAAAAGCAGGAGCTCAGTACTACTATCTTGTGCATTACCAGAAACTTTTATTCTCTTTACTTACATCTGTGACAGTATAATCCCAATAATAGCCTCAGCAGAAGTAGCTCATGTCTGTAGCATTCTCAATTATTGACTCTTTGCTCAAGAACAAGTAAATTAAAAAATGTATTGCGGAAACCACTGAGCAGGGGATCTCACAAGCAATTCCTATAGGGACTCTAAAAACATATTTACAGGGCAAAGCTATATGTGGGATATGGAAAATCCATACTTGTTAATTTAATGGGAAATAGGCATTTGTATCCTTTGGGAAAATTGCAGAATTCTAGCTTATGGGTTTGTTTAGGTATCCTCTCAATCTTTTTGTGTTGTTTTGCTGAATATTGTATGGCATGCCATACAATTGCTGGGAGAGCATTCTATTTCTGTACTTGTTAAATTCATGCCAAAATATATAGCCTACTGTGCAGTCAAACCAAAAGGGATTTGATAATTTGAAATTCCTTTTGCTGATATGTTATCCCATCAGTACAGTCTTTGCCAAAAGGAAATCCCAAAAAAGTCAAAAATATCTGACAGTTGTATTACCTAAAACATTTGCCATCCTGAGAAATCTAATTTTACCTGACATGCCTTGCCATGGGTGAGTGTATTTGCATTCTTAAGAAATGGCAGGTGACATGTGGTAGTGTACAGGTACCAGAGAGAAGAATGTTTTTGCAAAGTTTAGAAGAATACTTAGCTTCAAATTCTCCTCCCACTTCTCAGTACACTCCCATGTTGCTTTGTCCACCTTAATGACAAGCTGCTGTTCGTTATCAGAGACCTTGTGATAGAGGTTATGAGTTCTGCTTTGAATAGACCTCAGAAAGATACAGTTTGTCATGATTGTGTATCTAGAAACAAGCAGGTGAACCGCAGCATTGCTTGGAAAAACTGTAGAGTTCACAATTTGGGTCAGTCATAAAATCTGGCAGGGCAGGAGGAGGGAGCTGCAACCTAGATGGGATATCTTAAGACCAGTCTATGCAAATACAAGGTGATTAGGAACCTTATCTTCTCAGATCCCACCTTTTGTATTTCTGTGATCAAATTGGCTGTGCAAGGGCAACAAGGCTCAAGTACTGATGCAGTGTTAACAGGAGACCAAATTCGGGAGTTAATACTCCAGTTGCTGGAGTCTTCTATTACTGACAACAAAAGCTTTTAAACTGCAATACAGCTTGTTTCTCTTTCCTTCATAAGTGACTGAGATCAAAAAGAAAGTCATAATAAAGGAATCAAAGTTGTTTCACTGTAAAAACGGAATCAGATAAACACATGTTGATTTCAAAATTTTTATAAAATGCATTTGCATTCTTTTAATTAAATAAGTTAGTTCACATCTTGTACTGTTAAAAAGAACATACGCTGAAAACTCTCTTATCCTCAGATATGAATTCATGGAGAAGATTTTTGACACTTCTTTCCTATAATACATACCTTCAATAGTCAGGATGTAGAGATAGTTCCCTCTCAGTCTGCTCTGAGCTTGCCTTTCAGTGCCGGAATTTCCATTTCTCATTTCCTTCTTTTATCATCACATCCCAGAATGAATGGTGAGAAGCTGACTGCACAAAAAAGGTCAGGAATTTATTATTAATACTAAAAGCACTTTCTTTATGTTTGCAAGTTTAGTAATGCAGAGGAATAGATCTTGAATATTGTTACATATGTAGCAGCTCAGAATTCCTGAGGTACTGGTTCATTAAGGAAAGGACAACATGGCTATTCTTCAGGTGATAGACAAATCCACTTACTTTGTTACAGTCTGTAATCTTATCTTTTCAGTAAACTACAGCACATCCTTATGGTTATAGAAATAGCAAGACACAATATTGAGTTGTGTCAGTCAGAGATGTGAAGAGGAACTGAGGCCCTACCATTCCATATATGCCTTTTCCTTTAAGATGGGTTGTAGATCGTTAGAATTGTATATAATTAGAATACACAAATAATAAACCATACAAGTGTGAATCTGTAATAATAGAAAACACTGCTTTGCTGGGCATAAGAGTCTAAAAAGATGACTTGTAAACAAATATATCGCAAACTCAGAGCACACAAACTGGACTCCTTTCAGATAGAACTGAAGTGCAAGATTTGCTCCTGGACACTCCATGTCTTCCAACTACAGTTGGGCTTTTTGGTCTCAGGACTAGTCTAGAATGTGTCTGTAGTAAAACCACTGTAGATATCTGGTCTACAGGACCATTTGAACAGATCCACTCCTACCTCACATGTTATTGCAGTCAAAGCTGCCTCCTATCCACACTGGCACTAGAGCTGCTCCTGCAGCAGGTGAATCCCCTTCTCACAGGAGTCTTCCAGTCTATACAGTTTCTCACTTACTGTCTCCCTCTGGCTGCCTCAGGCTGTACCCTAGGAGTTTTTCCACTCTGATCATGTCCAGTTACTCTCAGGATGAAGTGCTCTCCTTTCCCAGGCAAACAGGCAGCTGTTCTTCATCCAGTCACAGGACTATTCAATATGCCTCTCCTAGAGACTGCATAGAAACTTATAATGTACACTGGTGTTCTTCAGAGACACTGGGCATTGCACCTGAGAATGAGATAACTGAAACAATTCGGTGTCTGTACACCTTGTGGTTTCTGAGAAACCTAAAAACTTAAAGAAAGAAAATAGTTCTACTGCTGGTTAGACATGTGGTTTCCTGTCAGGTGAAAGGTGAACTCACAGACTTCAGGGTTTACTGCCCTGGAAGCACTGGTAGTGGATGAAGTTTATAAGCATGGTTAGCAGATATTGCAGTGTTGAGAGGGGAAGTCTGATTTTGCATGCACCTGTTTCCAGGCATGGCGAGAATGGGAATAATGAAGCACTCTTGGCAAAAACATTATGGGATGAAGAGGCTGTTGGGATCTGTACAGCTGTCTTCCAAAATATGGCATTACTACAAACTAGCTTGGCAATACCGTGGAGCAGAGCAGTGGGAAGCAATGAGTAACACCTCTGCCTATAAAGAAAGGAACTGGAAAATAATCAGCCTGAAAGGTTGACTACAAGCTTCCATAAAATAACATTATATCAGAGGAACCTATTGGGCAACCTGGGTATTTCACTATATCTGAGGAAATGAGTGAGCAGCTGAGAAGAGCACATCTGAAGAAACAGAGGAGAGCATAGTTGGATCCTCTAACACAAGGGATCAAACTGTAGTGCTTAAGTCATATGCCTCTTCTGTGAAGTTCAGCTCTGATGCTGGTGTAAAGTGACTGATCAAAAGTGGAACTGGTATAGGGACTTCAATTTGGATCAATAGCAAGGAAATAAAGTCAGGAGACTCCATTGGGTCTTTTTGACTCACTTGCATCCTCATCCTCAATGACTCTCTGTGTTAGATGCTGTAATAACATTCTCATTATCTTGTTTACTGAAACAAATGGAATCATTGAAGATACACTTTTCCTTTCTAATTTAGTGTTTGAAATTTCAGAATTAAAATGCTTTAAAGCCAAACATAGAGCACAGGCAGTGGCATGGCTCTATAAAACACATGCAGACAATGGCAAAGTGCTGAACTGTTAAAACTGTCACAGATATCGAGGGTTTTTCACATTGAAGTGCTGTCACATGAAGGGTAATTTCCTGCTTTTCAAATGACTAGTCAGATACTGTCTCCTTTATCAGTGGATGTGTCAGCTAGTATGGAGAGGTTGAACAACTCTTTTTCTGTAAATGCTAACTATATGCAACTATGTTCAAAACTGATCCTGAAAACTACCTGATCTATAGACATTTCATGCTCCCCATTGTCTGGCTGCCAGTACCCCTGAAGAATATCAGTCAACATTATAAGAACCGTAGCAAGTTTTGCTGAAAATGGAACCAGGATAGAAAAACGTACTGAGGTTTCTCATAACTATATAGTGTAAAATACGATAAATGCTTCCCTTTATATTTATGCACAAGTATTTTGATAGAAGTTGGCAAGGCATGTTCTTAGCCAGGAGCATTGAGGGTAACTGAAAAATAGGCACAACTAGTATAGAGTACATTAGCAGGTACAGGTTTGTGAAAGTAGTTATTTTCACCTTCTGCCTTGTATCCATAATCACTAATACATACACCTGAAGTCTGTAAGCTATGTATCTGTGCTTCTTCAAATAGAGGTTGTTTCCCCAGTTTAAAGGGTATTTTTACTTGCATCATGTAGACTCTGACTAGAATATGAAGTGGAACTTCATAACATTTCCTTGAGTCCTGTCACTCATTACAAGAGTGAAGAGATCAGTATCTGCCCCTCTGCTTCCCCTCACAAAGGTGTTAAAGACTGCAATGAGATCCCCTGTCAGTCTCCTCTTCTCTAGGCTGAACCTGTGACTCTGTTTATTCTCTGAAATCTTTATTATTTTCATTAAATGAAATAATGAAGACTCAAGAATCTCTCATAAGGAAGCATATTAAGGCATGTCACTGGAGACTACTGATGGCTATTTTTGTAGTATATCTGTTTAAATCCCCACATCACTTAATCCCTGCAAGTCTTTTCCTCATTGTTGATCTGCAGGTTTTGGATTACTTAACACTTATTTCATATAAATCATGCAAAAACATCTCAGAATAATATGCTGAAGGCCAAGCCAGAGTAACACCTTATAAGGCATTTCATACCAGTTTCAACATGTGTCTCAGAAAACATCTGTGAGCACACGGAGTGCTTTCCGCTGATCATCATAGTACGTGAGTCAAGCCTGCAATGCCTAGGGAGAGGAGTTACTTCTTAAAATGTGTGTGAAACTTAAATGGATTTGAGAGAAACTGTTCTCTAAAAATGGAATTATTTCCCTGTCACTGTGAAGATCATTTAACTACTATCTCTTAGCAAAAAAAAAAAAAAAAAAACCACAGAAAATTCAAACTGATGTTTAAACATTAACAAAATGTCTTCAGATATTTTATTATGTTACCTGCCTAGGAAAATATTTCTTCTTATTTAAAAAGGAAGGAATGAAGAGATGCCTGAATTTGTCGAAAACTGAGGGTTTCATTTAAACAAACTGAAACCAAATAATGTTTAGTTCTGTAATAACAACTTTAGGTTTAGGCAACCAAAACTGAAATGTTACTGACTTGAATTTTCTGCTTTTAATTGCAGGCAAACCATTGGTTAAACTTTTTAATTTACAAGTGGCTTTCCCCCTCCCCCACCCTGGTGCATTATATGTATGGAACTCAAATAGGTTAATTTTTTAAAAAGGCACAAATAACCTATGCCCTTAAGGTGCCTGCAAATTAGATGCTTGATTCAGTCATTAGTGTGGGGTCAGCTGCACAATTCAGACCTCAGTGAGTACATCCTCAAAATATGTGAAGAATTTGGAACTGGAATTTAGGTTTGGGTCCCTTTCAAATTCACCATTTTTCAGAAAAGAGAGGAAGGAGTCATGCACTTCAGGCTGAAAAGAATCCTTCAGAAGTTAACATTAGTCTTTTTCCAATTATTTCCTCAATTAGTTTTAGACCAGACTGTTTCATAGTCTTTTGAGTTTCTTTATGGTTTCTGGTAAAAGCACAATGTATTCGAAATGTGATATCATCGGTGACATGGTGAGAATAATGCAGTGAGCACAGGGTTAAGAGAGGCTCCTTTCTGCTGTGTTAAGAACTGTTCCCAGCAGAAACCATGGGAATCTGATATGATTACCAGGGTGCTTTCTGCAGAACTGTGTCATTATTGTTAACAGATTTTGCAGTGAAGAATACATGTGGCAAGTCCCAGAAGAAGACAGACTAGGCAAAGGGCTGAAACTTTGACTAGTAATTGTTACCAGCTCCTTCCTACCATTGCCTCCCACACCAACCACTAAAAGCTAAACTTCTTTGTGGGAGCTCAGGGCAGCAATTCCAAGAAATATTTTTTATTATTTTTTTTCAGAAACTACCTGATATATTTTTGTAAATTTTAACAACTACTATTTCAACCAGCCATGTGTTCAAGCTGTTGTTAATTCTTTCAGAACGATCTTCCTGTGAAAGTGGCTCATGAATGTTGCTGGTTAAAAAAATAGTAAGAATTAGACTATTTATAGCTCTAGTGACTAAGCATATAGACTGCAATAGTCATACAGGAGAGGAATCTCATGATGTGAGACCATCTGGTAGTCTGTGAAGGAGGCCAAAAGCAGTTTTCAGTACACATCTGTAGGCCATCAGGTCATGCATATTCCTTCCAGAAAGAAGAGCTGCTTTTACAATAATTGCATGCAGCTTCTTTTCAGAAATGAACATTTTGTTATTAGACTGTTATCCACATAGGATGTTTTGTCTGTCTGACAGCCCGGGGTTTAAGGATGGGACTTCTTTGAAAAAAGGTTTAAAACTGAGTGAATTTGCGTATGCTCTTAAAATAGAACACAAAGCAATGTTAGAGGTTTATTCCTTGCATAATGTCTTTAAAGTCAATAGATGTTGCAGGTCTTGAATTGTGTCTGTTACAGATAACCTATAAGAGATTAATAGAGTCTAAAAAATTGATGATTTTGGTTTCATAACACCAAAGGAGGACATGGAATGTTTTTCATTCCTTTCCCTTTATCTGACTAGATTT